CCATGTCAGTCAGAGGTCAAATATCTTCAGCCCCCAGAATGACACCGCTATGCCAGCAGAAGTCTGTAGTGTAGAGATGTCTCCAGACAGCTCTGTGATGGGAAGGTTCCCACTGCCCTTCTTTCCCTGTGCTGGGATTAACCTCCGGAGTTTGGCAGTTTCCTTACTTCTCAGGATAAGAATTTGAGCTGGTTGAAATTTTTACCAATGAATTTTTTTCTAGACTGACCTACCGAATAAGACACAGCACAGAATCTCACCCAATGATTCCTGCATCTAACCCATAACTTCTGTTCTATTTAGAGCATACCTTTTCTGAACAGATCCCACCTAGATTTAAAGACTTTCAGTGATTAAGGCCCTATCTCCATTACCATTTTTCTTCGCACAGCTGTGCCGCTGTAAGCTCTGTGGCATAGATTGCGCTTCTTCTCTTTGGACTCCCCGGGCTCTCTCAGCTAGCCTAACCTCTGAGCCCCCCTCTGGAGACCAATGGCTTTCCTATGTTTAATCTGATTTAAAGGTCCCAAACTAATGTAAAAGACCCCAAAGGAGAATAAATTCTGAATACTCACAGACAAATCACCTTCATTGCTTAAATCATCCTAGAAGGGAAAAAAAACTATTACTAAAACATTAATTCCTTGTTGCTGCTCTTTTTCTGGGAGCAGTGAAATGAAAATGATGTCCGGAAAGGAACTGGACTCAAACGGCTGCTGGTTGGGAAATGGGAGCCAGTGTGGTCTGGTAAAAAGGGAGCTGGGCTGGGAGACGAGCTCAGGGATCTGTTCTGGGCTCTGCTGCTGACTTTCCTGGTGACTTTAGGTGAGTCACTTCCCCTCTCTGTGCCTTCCTTTCTTCTCTTTGCCTTCCTTCATTTAGTCTGATCGGTCACAGCTAAATGCACCAGAATCACGTTACAGACACAGAGTGTCTTTGCATAGCACCAGGAGCAGGGCTCAATGTGAATTTTTTTCTAGACTGACCTCCTGAATGACACAGGGAAGAGAATCTCACCCAATGATTCCTGCATCTAGCCCATAACTTCTGTTCTATTATGAGCATAACTTTCATAAAGCTATCCCGTCGAGATTTAAAGACTTTCGGTCATTAAGGCCATATCTACATTATCATTTATGAAAGGAAAATTTATGTCTCTCACAGGTGTGAAAAAAATACCTCCATGAGTGGCTTACGTTTCGCCAGCACAAACAGTAGTGAACACAACGCTGTGTTGGTGTGAGAGCTTGGACTCCCTGGGCTCTCTGAGCTAGCCAAACCTCTGAGCCCACCACTTGAGGCCAATGGGCTTCCTATGTTTAATCTGATTTAAAGGCTAATCTAAAAGCCCCAAAGGAGAGTAAGTTCTGAATACTCACAGACAAATCACCTTCATGGCTTAAATCAGCCTAGAAGAAAAAAAATCTATTACTAAAACATTAATTACTTGTTTCTGCTCTTTCTCTGGAGCAGAGAGTGTCTTTGGAGAGCACCAGCAGCAGGACTCAATGTGAATTTTTTTCTAGATGAACCTCCTGGGTGGGCTGGTGTCGGATGAGTGGGTGGCGGGGGGGACACAGGCACGTGGGGCTTGTACTCACCATGCGGTTTCCTACCGGGTCTTCAGTGGCACCTCAGCAGCGGAGGGGGGAGGGGGTCTTCACTCCCTCCAGATGAGGTAGCTGACACTGAACTGTCGCTGAAAACCCGGAGCGAGTGAAGATCCCTCCCTGCCCCCCGCCGCCGAGGACCTGGTAGGGAACCAGTTCTTAGGATTTTGGGAGCTCATCACTGACCATATCTACATTACCACTTTTCTCGGAAAAATTTATTTCTCTCCGGGGTGTGAAAAATATACCCCCCTTACTGACATAAGTTTTCCCAGCATAAACAGCAGTGTGCACAACGCTATATTGGTGGGAAAGCATCTCCGATGGCTCGTTGGGGGTGGTTTCATTACATCGATGGGAGAGCTCTCTCCCGTCGGCATAGAGCGGCTACACGAGAGATCTTACAGTGGCAGAGCTGCATCGGTACAGCCGTGCCCCTGTAGGGTCTCTGGCATAGACATAGCCAGAGACTCCACCACATCCTAGGTTAATGGCTCCAAAGGTTAATGAATATTGTTAAAATTAGCACCTTCTTTCTTGATTCAGTTTGTCTAGATTCGGTTTTAGATTATTAGATCTTTTCTTCCTTTCTTTGATTAAAGAGCAATCTCCCATCAGAATTTTTCCCCCCTGCAGTTACGTGTATACCAGGATCAAGTGTCTCTCTGGTAAATTAAATAGATTGCGCTTCTTGTCTTTGGACTCCCCGGGCTCTCTCAGTTAGCCTAATCTCTGAGCCCCGCTCTGGAGGCCAATGGGCTTCCTATGTTTAATCTGATTGAAAGGTTCATCTAAAAGCTCCAAAGGGGAGTAAATTCTGAATACTCACAGACAAATCACCTTCATGGCTTAAATCAGCCTAGAAGGAAAAAAAATCTATTACTAAAACATTAATTCCTTGTTGCTGCTCTTTCTCTTGGAGCAGTGAAATGAAAATGATGTCTGGAGAAGAACTGGACTCAAACGTCTGCTAGTTGGGAAATGGGAGCCAGTGTGGTCTGGTGAAAAGGGAGCTGGGCTGGGAGACAAGAGCTCGGGGATCTGTTCTGGGCTCTGCTGCTGACTTTCCTGGTGAGTTTAGGTGAGTCACTTCCTCTGTCTGTGCTTTTCTTTCTTCTCTTTGCCGTCCTTCATTTAGTCTGATCAGTCACAGCTAAATCAACTAGAATCACGTTATAGACTTTCAGAGTCAAGTGTCTTTGGAGAGCACCAGCAGCAGGGCTCAATGTGAATTTTTTTCGACTGACCTCCTGAGTGACACAGGGAAAATCTCAGCCAATGATTCCTGCGTCTAGCCCATAACTTCTGTTCTATTATGAGCATAACTTTCCTAAAGCTATCCCATCGAGATTTCAAGACTTTCGGTCACTAAGGCCATATCTACATTACCATTTACGTCGGCAAAACTTACGTTGCTCAGGGGTGTGAACAAAATACCCCTGTCAGTGGCTTACATTTCGCCAGTGTAAACAGTAGTGTGCACAGCGCTATGTTGGTGGGAGAGCTTGGACCCCCTGGACTCTCTCAGCTAACCTGCCCTCTCAGCCCACCGCTGGAGGCCAATGGGCTTCCTATGTTTAATCTGATTGAAAGGCTAATCTAAAAGCTCCAAAGGGGAGTAAATTCTGAATACTCACAGACAAATCACCTTCATGGCTCAAATCAGCCTGGAAGAAAAAAAGTCTATTACTAAAACATTAATTACTCGTTGCTGCTCTTTCTCTGGGAGCAGTGAAATGAAAATGGTGTCCTGAAAGGAACTGGGCTCAAACGGCTGCTGGTTAGGAAATGGGAGCCAGTGTGGTCTGGTAAAAAGGGAGCTGGGCTGGGAGACAAGAGTTCGGGGATCTGTTCTGGGCTCTGCTGCTGACTTTCCTGGTGACTTCGGGTGAGTCACTTCCCCTCTCTCTGCCTTTCTTTCTTCTCTTTGCCGTCCTTCATTTAGTCTGATAGGTCACTGTTAAATGCACCAGAATCACTTTACAGAGTCAGAGTCAACTGCTTCTGGAGTATTTATGGACAGAGCACCACCACCAGGGCTCAACTTTCCCCGAAACCGCTAGGCAGACAAAGGCAGGAGTGATTTAGTGCTGCACTTTCTCCGATATCGTTGAAATCATACTAGTTTTGTGTCAGTGGCTGAGACGGGCATCTCCTGTGGCGGAAAATTTCTCAGCTCCCTGGTCGATTTCCGCTCTCCCTTCTATTGAAATATTTCCTACATCCCCACGTGCTTCACTGGTTTCTATGTGAGGAAACCCCTTTTTCAAATGGTGTGAATTCTATTCTAATGTCAACTGGCATTTCTCTATTGACTTCAGTGGCGCGAGGCCGATTTACATCTGCTAGGGAGCAGCTCCCTGGTGTGGTTGAGACCATGCTTATGATTGTCCATGGTGATGCTATTATCCCCACTCCAGAATAAAAGGTCCCCAGTGAATCACAGCTCCCAGTGAGTCTGACTCCGCTGAGAAGTGGTTCTTCTCACGGTTGTAGAGAACAGAGCCTAGAGAGGCCCAACAAACCCGCTACTGGGATAATGAGAAAACTGACGCTGCAAAGAACACCTGGATTAACTCTGACACCCACCTCTGGGATATCCCCCTCTGACACCCTGTACTGAAATATCTCGTAGATGCCCCCACTTGCATGCTTCATTTTCTCCCATGTTAGGAAACTCTTTTTCAAGTGGTCCCAATTCTATTCTGATATAAACTGCCACTACGCTATTGGCATCAGTGGAGAGAGGATGTCTTCCACATGCTGGGGACCTGCTCCAGTGTATAGTTAATAGTCTGTTTGTGATTGTCCATGGTGATACTATTATCCCACAGCCCTGTGGAGCCGAATGCCGCGGAGGCAGGGAATATCAAATTCCTGCCGGGACCGGGGCTGGGTCCAAGTGGAGGGAGGGGGAGCAGGGAGATCCTCCCAGGGCCGGGAGGGGGAGGGAGGAGAGTGAGCTTCTGTGCCCCCCCAAAAGTGTTCAAATTTAAATTCCAGCGCATGCTCCTGGAAAGTGGCAAGTGATTCTTCAGATGTCTAAAGAACAGGCCCACGGAGAGGGAACACACCGGCAACTAGTATTAGAGGGGAAGTGAAGGTGCAAAAAACTTCTGGATTAACTCCTAGATTACCCCTTTGGGATTTAGGAACCTATTGCTCTGTTTTTTGTCCCAATCCTTGCACATCTGTTCAGGCTATTCCAACTGACACTTCCTTTGGGTTTGGGCTTGCTAAGAGGTGCTGGGATAGAAGAAGTGAGGTTTTTACTCACAAAAGCTTATGCCCAAATAAATCTGTTAGTCGTTAAGGTGCCACCAGACTCCTTGTTGTTTTAATAATATAAGAAGTGAGACAGCCTGACAGCAAAGCAACTTTGAATACTCACCCTTGGTACTCTTCCAGATAAGCTTCCAGATAAGCTCCCAGAAGCCTGCAAGGAAATTGCTGTGAGTTACTTGATCCTGCACTTTCTTATTCCTTGACTTTAGCAAAGCTTTTGATACGGTCTCCCACAGTATTCTTGCCTCCAAGTTAAAGAAGTATGGGCTGGATGAATGGACTGTAAGGTGGATAGAAAGCTGGCTAGATCGTCGGGCTCAATGGGTAGTGATGAATGGCTCCATGTCTAGTTGGCAGCCGGTTTCAAGCAGAGTGCCCCAAGGGTCGGTCCTGAGGCTGGTTTTGTTTAATATCTTTATTAATGATCTGGAGGATGGTGTGGACTGCACTCTCAGCAAGTATGCAGATGACACTAAACTAGGAGGCGGGGTAGATACACTAGAGGGTAGGGATAAGATACAGCGGGACCTAGACAAATTAGAGGATTTGGCCAAAAAAACCCTGACGAGGTTCAACAAGGACAAGTGCAGAGTCCTGCACTTAGGACGCAAGAATCCCATGCACTGCTACAGACTAGGGACCGAATGGCTAGGTAGCAGTTCTGCAGAAAAGGACCTAGGGGTCACAGCGCACGAGAAGCTGGAA